AAAACTAATGACAACGGATCACGTTGTTTTAAATTGTCACACTATGAAAGACCTGACATCATATGCCAGGTACGCAATGATGGATGTATACTTTCTTGCAGCTGCCGCAACCTTGAATTTGCAGGAATAATTTGTCACCATTCCCTTGCGGTAGCAATTCGGCTTTCTCTTTCTCTACTTGATGTCTTTCATTTTTCAAAATGGTGGCAAAAAGATCTGTCTGAATTGAAGCTTGCCAAGAATTATATTAATTTTTACATCTATACGGAACCAGAAGCCCAAGAAACTTTTCATGAATCTTGCAGTGATATTCTAATATTACATGAATCTTCCAGTGAATGCGCCTCTAAAATATGGTACATGCATATTTACAGGCTATCAGGAGAAATTGCAAATAAAATCGCAACAGATCCTGATAAATGTGCAGATTTTATGTTGTACCTCGAAAAATATTTAGAATCTCTATATATCACTGCTAACAGTAATTTGGATTCAACCTATATAGAAAGTGCATCAACTGCTCTGAAGTTTCTGATAATTAACAACTCTTTTAAAAGTAAAACGGTTGGACACCCAAAAAAAAGAAGAATTAGAGCTCAAAAGGAGAACATGCAAGAAGCTGCAGTTAAGAAGAAATGTGATCGACCCAAAAAAGCTCTTGAAGAGAGTCTGACCGAAGACCAAAATGAGAATAATAATTTAAAGCATCCACGAAAATGCATACGTAGTGTGCTATAAGGTAAATTCACACTATATTAATTCTTAGTGTTAGTATAATTTTAAATTCATTATTTTTATAGTTCTTGATAATTCTTTTTTATTGAGCTAAATCGATTTTATTTAGAACTTACTAAACGGCTTGTTATTCTAAGTATTGAATCACTATATACATTTTAACAAAATTAAATATGGAGTATTTTAAATGTTTTAAAGATTTCTCAAGATAAAAATTTTTATTTTATATTTGCTATCAAGGTAATAATTTTATTGATATATTTATGGTGAATATTAACATTTGAGTGAATATTAATTAACATTAGATTTTTGATTTTGCTAGATTAGTACAAGTCTAATGTAACCAGAATTGATGTATATGTAGTGATTAAATTTATTTTGATTAAATTTTAATTTTGCATTGATTTGTTAAATGTTAATATAACTATTATTTATTTATAGGCGACAAACTTATAAATAATGCTCTAGCACTAAATGAAGTGCATAATCAAAAAAAAATTAAAGTTTAGCTATGTTTTCTTTTGTAATTCTGTCACGTTATATTATCATAGGTTTTTTTTTTGAGATCCTAATAATTATACACATGATTTGAGTTCCCAGGATATATTTTCCATTTTACACAATGCAATATAATGCACATTGCTCTAGTAGTATAGTTAAGATTGAATTTCATGCTTTTTTACGCTTATTACATAATAATGCAAATTGATCAATATATTTAGCCTATACTACCACCTAATTTAACGCGTATGTATTTATTTATTTGATAATTTATCTATTTATTTGTTTGATAATTTATAATATTCTATTTCAAATAATAATTAATAAAAAACTTTAAATGAAATTCAGGAAAAATGATAAAACGTCCAGACATCCAGCAAAAGATATCAACGTAAGATGTTCCCAGAAGGTATCATCTGATTCTCTCAACAATATGATTTCAATTGTATTATACTTACATACCTCTGCTGATATTTTAAATAATACAGATTATTAAATTCTATAAACAACGTTTCACATTTGTACCTCTTGCTAACCATAGCAAAACTTAATTCGCTGAAAAACAAGCATGTTTAATCACTTTTAGATAGGAAATCAAAGCCTTTGTTTTGCACTATTTCAAAAAGAATATTTATATATAATGTTTTATGAAACCAATAATGCGAATAAAATATTGATATTAGGTTCCCAACTTATTGTTAGGTTTTTTCATATGACATTATAAATGCCAAAGGAATTTCATAGCGAATATTGGTCATGGATTTGTAAAATTGGTGATCAGAATATAAATTCATGATCAAAATTATAACTTCGTTATATTAAAGTGCTTTCACGATCAATTTTAATTCTAATCACGAGGAGTTTTTTTTATTTATAAATTTAATTTTATGAATGAACAATAAATGCAATTAATCACTGGTGACTATACTAGCCAACGCCATTAAATATCTTTAATCAGTCAAATTGTAAGTGCAAAAATTTTATATCCGCAGTAAACCGGATTTTTATGCTATGCTTTGATTGGTAAAAATTTTGCACTTCGGAAAGTCAATCATCCGACTGATGCAGCCGAGGTTACACATTCGTGGGTTTAATTTTAATCGGTGTCACGTGATGTTCGTGCATTTTTATTGGTTGAGATGCGGGAGATATATAAGGTATATATCTCTCATGGGAGATGCCTAAAATTACCCTAATCGAAATGGTTAATCGAAATTATTCGCAAAACAAATTTATATGATATAATTATTTATTAATACCATATAAAATCAACTGGTATTAATAAACGCATTACTACGAAATCTATCAACTTAAAGTCTAAAACCATCATCCCGATACAAACAAAGCCAAGATCTTATTTAAAAAAAGTACTATAACACGAATTTAAAAAAATATATATATAAAAGCTCGAAAAACAAATAAAAAATATAAACCATTTATTTTAAGAGACGATAAAAAACCATATAAATAATTTTTTAATTTTTCATAATACGTAACAGTTATTAATTAATGCTAAATGAATTTAGCAATAATTCTAAATTAATAATCTTGAACGTAACACTATTCTTTAATAATCTTAGACGTATCACTATTTTCTCATAAAGCTCGCATGTTCATGCTTCATGTCACTAATCTATTTACTGGCAGTACATGTCTGTCTTTAGAATAATAAATAAGTTATAAATAAAATAGATTAGCGTTGTAAACTTTTTGAAATGACTTAAATTTGTCAAGTTTAATATATCGTAGATTATATTGGTTAAATTGAAACACCTAAACATACCTCTCATTTAACTTCCGAATTACCTCGTCAATTACCAAATTATTTTGGTATGTTATAGAACTGAAGGTGTAGTTATATCATAATCTTCCCGAATTCGTACTCGTGGCCCTGAATTCATTTTTGTGCGCTCTTGTAACAGAAAATCATTACTTTAATAAGACTTTATTATAATGAGCTGATCTTCAAAATTAGCCAATCATGATAAAGCCCGCTATGCTATTCTTAGTAAATATCCATATAATCGTTTTCTATAACTCTTGCTGACTTTGCTGACAGTGTCATTTTCCTGATATTTATTATGTTTTATTTTTAAAATTTATTTTAAAATATGTCATACTAGCTAGATTGAGGAAAGTATACAATACAGTATGGCATTTCAACAAACGGCATATGCATTATATGCATTACAGCGTGTATTTGATGTGTCGGCAGATCTAGCAACCGATACCTTTTTAGTAAAATATTTATGACACTGATCGTACACTGATTGTACCGGGGTTTACGAATTTTCCACCACTTCGATATTGGGAGTATCATAAAATTGATTAATAAGGTAGATACTCCGATATATGAATAATTAGTAGAACTAATCAGAGTGGTAGGATTTAGTCGTAACTAAGTATGGATGTAAATCATTATTATTATCGTTATGTCACTATTTCGGTATTTTTAGGACAACTTTCTTCCGATTGGTCAATCACTTTCAATTGTATTTATACAGTTTAAAAGCACTTTTTAAGAATGTAATATTCCTTAAGTAAAAAAATAAAATTAAACCCATCACTATCTTCGAAGAAGTACTAACAATTACTATGCAAATAGCCCCAAATAATACGGCATAATGTCATTGCGGCATTACCGTATTGATTTGCAAAATTAATTCTACCGCCAACTTTAGTTATTCCAGTTTCCGAATTTAAAATGTCGGAATACAAATAAGATTATTCAAACATCATTTATTTTAAAATTCACTACCGTATCCTATCATGAATAAGCACTACCCCACTTTATTAAATATCAGATTAGCGGTAATAATTTGGCTAAAGAATTCATTGTGATTTCCGTTAATCTGACATTTAAAAATTGGGGTAGAGGGTGTAGTGCTTATTCACGATAGGATACGGTACTTTTTTCTTAACTTTAAAATCCCATTTAATTTGTTTATGAACAAATTTTTTGTATTGATTTAATTGTTATTTCAATCTGTTATTCAGAGATAAGCTAACTTTTAACTAATTTTTTATATAGATTTGCAGAAAAACCCACGTGAATTCATTTGTCAAGTATAAAATCCCACGTGGATCATTGGGGTGCGCTGTCAGCTATGTAAATCATATGTGGTATCATATAAAAAAAAATCGATTATCAAAGTGTTTTTTATGACTATGTATCAGCACAGCAGTACTTATAGTGATAAGTGAATTTATAAATGATTACTACTATTAAAGAATATGGGTTTGGGTCAAAATCCCGACAAGCGAAATCCCGACAGGTCATAATCCCGACAGTTAAAAATCCCGACAATTAAAAATTCTGATGAAAAATATCATAAACCATAGCTAATCCTGGGATTTTCTACTTGAAAATTCTGACTGTCGAGATTTTTAATTTTCGGGATTTTGACTGCCGGGATTTTTTTTCGGGATTATGACCTGTCGGGATTGTGCTTGTCGGGATTTTGTAATTTTACTAATAGGCCTCACATAGTTTTAATCTACATATATTATAAAAAAAATCTCCAATACTGTATTTAATTTTTATATGATACCACATATAGTTTTGATTTACATAGTCCAGTGGATCGTGCAGATAATACGCACTTTTTCAAAATTTAATAAATTACTCTATATATTAAATGAAATAAATAAAAAGCTTAAAAATCTCAATGGAAATGACCGTTAATTCACCTTTTTTCATAACATTACAAACAATACTAAACCTATTTATATTTAATTAATAGCTGCCATACTTAATAGTAATAATGAACTTTGTTTTTCTTTTTATCATCTTATCCGTAGCCACCATTTATAGCATAAATGCATATCCTAATTACAAGCAATTGCATACTGTGTCCACTGACACCAATGCAAGGGATTCGATAGATAAATTAAGGAAAACTGCCATAAATAAATACTCTCGCTACAAAGATCTTGCTCTAACTTCTAATGCTACAACTTCTAACTATAAAATGTCCTCCGATGTATCAACTTCTAACAATGAAATATTCTCTCATGTATCAACTTCTGAAAGTCAAACCATCCCTATAATTGATGATAATCCAGATAAAGCATATTATGTAAAAATCATTATTGGAAATCAAGAATTCAAAGTTATGTTAGACACAGGGTCTTCAAGTCTCTGGATTCCAAATAAGGATTGCACTTCCGATGCTTGCAAAGGCCATAATAGATTTGATTCAAGTAGTTCGCCAACATTTAAGGACGAAGGGAATCCATGGGATATCCAATATGGGCTTGGCAATGCCTCTGGTATTACCGGAATAGATAGTATCCAAATTGGAAACATTACCGCTGATAATCAAATTTTTGGTCTCGCTAATAGTGAATCTGATGATTTTGGCTATGATGATTTCGATGGAATTTTAGGATTAGGCTTTGACAATTTAAATGATTTGGATAATGGATCATCGACCCTAATTTCTACTTTAATTAAACAAAATAAAATTAACCCAATTTTTGGCTGTCATTTCCAACATGCATCAGGCGTTGATGATGGAACATTTACATTAGGTGGAGTTGATGAAAGTAAATTTATTGGTGAAATTACATTCAATTCTGTGATTAATACAGTTGGATTTTGGGAAATAAACCTTGATGGTGTAAAACTTGATGACACGCCAATGTCTATTTCCGGAAGGAGTGCAATCATTGACACTGGTTCTACAGTTCTTTTTGTACCTTCAGATGACGCAGCAGCAATTAATAAGCAAATTCCGGGAGCCGAATTTGATAACAAAACAAATACTTACAAAGTCCCATGTCCTCCTGATCCTTGTTGCACTTCTACATCTTCCATTCCTACAATTTCTCTTAGATTTGGAGGTGTTGATTATACAATTCCATCAGAGGATGTAATTTATAATTCATTGTTCCAATGTATAACAGTTATCGTTCCCTTTGATCTTGAGGGACATCCTAATACCTGGGTCGTCGGCCAATCATTCTTAAAGAATGTATATTCAGTATTTGATGTAGAAAACAGAAAAGTTGGATTTGCACATAGTAAATAATCACTATATTCCATTATAACTATTTATTAATATGTCATCATATTCTCCATTAATTACAGTATTGTGTTATCTTAATATTATTTTGATCTTAATTTTTTCTTAACATTATTATAATCTTAATTTTTTTCTTAACATTATTATAATCTTAATTTTTTTCTTATTATTATAATAATTTTTCTTATTTTGGATTCATTTGAATTTAATACTGATGTTATATGGGTGATGTGCTATAAGTAAAAATCACAGGTATCACTATCAGTCAGCCGACATGTCGGAGAGTTTATATGTTAGATTTGCATACTTATTGATCAAATTAATAGACGTACCTAAATTTTATACATAAATTTTATACCTTTTTTTTATTTTTTAATTTTCTTTGAAGTTTAATATAAAATTTAAGTTAAAACTTCAGATACTTATTCTTGAGTATCTAACGATTCTTGGTACAAAATTTGAGTAATAGTTAATAATAAAGTTGAAAATAATCTTGACCCTAAAGTTAACGTTTATTTACAATGTTTCTTAGTCCAAAGACTGACACACCATCAATAATTACAATAATATATGTTCCTTAAATTAAAAGACCGACTCACCATTAAAAAAATTATGACGAAATATTTACAATATTTTATAGTTGGTCAGTTTTTTGACTTAAGGAACATAGTAAAGGAACGTTCAACTTTAGGATCAAGATTATTTTCAACTTAATTATTAACTATTACTCAAACTTTGTATAAAGGATCTTCAGGAACTCAAGAATAAGTATCTAAAATTTTAAATTGATTTTTATTTTAATTTCAATGAAATTTATAAATCAAGTTTTTTTTTTATAAATTTACTTATAAAATTTAAGTACGTCAATTAATTTGATCAATAAGTCTGCAATTGTAAACGATATGTCGGCCGACTGCTATACACAAATTAGTCTCTGAAGAATTGAGTTTAAAATACGTATATAATTAATGTATAATCAGTGTTGCAAATAATCATATAGCTAATGGTATGAACAGTATTGCCAACAAATTACGTATGATTAATCATAACATACTATGGGGATTAAAAAAAATTACTATGTACTGATAGTCATTTTCTTGTGACGGTTAATATTACGTAATTTTGTTGGCAACACTAGGCCAGGTTTCATAGGACGACTTTCATATGATTGGTTGTTTAAGTCAATTTAATTTTACATTATTTATCCAGTGTAAAGTACTTTTCAAAAAAAATTAAACCTACAAAGAATAAATGAAAAAAAAGTACATAGGAAGTATTATTAATGTTGTAGGACTCTACTATTGAAAATGATCAAAATTCCTTTTTGTTTTAGAGAAGTTAGCATAGTAATAATCTTGTTTGATCTATTTTTAAGAAGTAATTAGTAATAATAATATCCTGATCCGTTGGGAATTAGCGGAAACGAAGTTTCCGCTTATTCACATACGGTCAGGGTATTATCAATTAATCCTCCCGTGATCTTGATATAGTGATCGGGGGATTATGATACTAACTTCGCTAAAACAAAAAGGGATTTTGATCATTTTCAATAGTGGAGTCCTACAACACTAATAATACTTCCTATGTACTTTTTTTCATTTATTCTTTGTAGGTTTATTTTTTTTGAAAAGTACTTTAAACTGTATAAATAATGTAAAATTAAATTGACTTAAATAACCAATCATATGAAAGTCGTCCTATGAAGGCCAGGGACACGGAATTTATGCGATAAGAATTTGTAAATTATGCGTGCGGTATATATGAAATATTCGATTTATTGATGACTAAAAATTAAAAGTGCTATTTAAGTGTACACTATTGGACAGACGACAAAAAATAATTTTTTGTCGTACGTATGTTCAATAATAATAATGTTGTTATCAGATAGTTAATATGACCATGTGAAGTTTTTTCTGTGATATTTTGCAAAACTGATTACGTAATTTCATGTAAAAATATCATGGCAAAAAAATTCACATGATCATATGAAATGTCGGATAATGATGTTTACTAAGCAATTTATCTCGTAAAAAAAAACTTGCAATTTTTTAAATATTGCGCTCAACTAGCTGTTTCTAATTATTTATTGTTTAAAATACACTTTAATAAAAATTTGTTTAGATATTGCGTTCAACTAAACAAAAATTTGTCTATTTCTGATTCATTTTTGTTAAAAAAAACACTTCTTTAATAAAAATTTGTAAGAGTATCAGAGTAATTAATCTAAAAATAAAATTATTTATAGTTAATAATATTACCTTAATTGTTATTTTAAATCAAGTACTTGTTGTTCTTTTAAACTATTAATAATAGCAAAATTCTCTTTCTAATTTTGAAGACGAATTT